TACAAAGGCCGACGGTGTTCAAATTTTCAATTTAGGCACGACTGATTCAAAATTAAAAGAATGATAGCGGACGCGCAGGCCCCAAAACAACAATGGACGCGCATGCCCTGAACTGAATACATTCAAACTTCATCCTTACCGTCGTTGCTATCCGAGGGATAAAGGATCTTCCCGTCAACAACTTGGTTAAATGGCCCCGCCCCCTCAACCACTAACTCGACCCCAAGATTCAAGATCTCCAATTACTCGACGGCGATGTTGAAGTCGTAGCCAAGGGTATCAACCACGTCCTCCACGAGCAAGCGGGTGCGAGCAATCAAATCTGCCCTGGTCGCCATGTTCTTCTCCTTCTCGGTCTCGTCCTCAGCCGGCGCGGTCATCCTTTCTAGCTCCAAATTACGAGTGATCAGACGCTCGTTCTCTCTAATGGCCGCCTCCAACTGGGGCCTCAGCTCGTTTAAATCCTTGAGTAGCTGAACTTAGGCCTCGAACCTTGACTCATGGTTGAGGATATCACCCTTCAACTTCTCATTCTTGGTCTTCAGCTTGTGGATTTTGGCGTAGGACGTGTCGAGGGAGGCTTAAGCACTCGATGACTCATTGTTGAGCGAAAGGGTCGTCTCGAGCACCCTCATTACAGCAGCCACGTCCTCGGCCAAGTGCTTCCGACGAATCTCCTTGTCTTCAGTCAAAATGGTCTCCCTCTCCTCCTCGTGCACGCTGAGGGAGTCCTTCTCACTGAAGAGGTTGCGGTTTAGATAGCAAAGAGGCAATATAAAAACCCCCGTTGACGTTTTGTCACCCTCGGACGTCACACCCGCAGCGTTATCTGCACGTTTCCTCTTAGCCACGGGCTCATTGACTGAAATCTGGTCCGAATTAGTAGAAGCTGGGTTTTTTTATGAGGAAGGGAAACCACTGGCCCGACCGGCAGACTTGGCCTGTTCTTGAAGCTGGACGACTCTGCTTCGTGGTCCTGAAATGGATGCTTTTTTGGGCCTCAATTTCAACAAACGCTCGAAAAGAGATGTCATTCAACCTACAATTAAAGAGAATCGTTAGTCGAGTTGGAAAAATCAAAAACAGAGCGGACACATCCCCACGTAAAAAGGAGCAAAGTAACGGCTACGCCTTACCCAAGAGCCTCATGGCTTCTCCATTCGAGGAACACTCGAGCAAGGCCTTAGTATTGATCAATTTATTGACTAAGAGATACTTTCCCTCCTCGTCAAACAACAGATTATCATTCACATCCACGCACTTTGCGGGGGAGAAACCTTTAACATAAGCCGACAGCTTCTCGTACGAAAGCTGGTCTTGGGCATCCAAATCCTCGGGTTTCACGGCATAGTATTCGGGCCTTTGCTCATAATGTCTCCACTGCCATTCGAGCGGGAATCTGGCCATGTCGGGTAACTGGTCGCCCTTCGTCCATCTCTTCCACACGGATATAGAGAGAATCTATGGTCGCGTCCGTCAGGGGCTTCACGACGAAGTACCTCTCTTTAAAATTTCGGACGGACTCTAGATAAGGCCAGAAGAGTTTCTCGAACTGCTTGAATGACACCCACGCCTGCCTCCCTCAGACAGATTGTCTATGCAGGTGAAAGATGCGGAAGAAAAGGGACAGTGTGGCGCCTATCCCCAAGTATTGGCAGACGAGCTCAAACGCCCGCATAAACATCAGCGCGTTTGGATGAAGTTGGGAAGGCGCCAACTGAAGCCATTGGAAAACTCCGACCTGGAAACCGTTGAAGGGCAAACGCATCCCCGTCTTTTTGAAAGCAAATTCATACATGGGTACCGTTTTCCCAGATACGTCGATCATATCCTTCGGTCTCGATGGGTAATTTGAAGCATCCAGTTGGCCGGGGCCCCTTCTACGCGTTCCTCCAGACACTTGAACGCATCTGTCGCATCCTGTGAAAAGCACAATCATTTTCCCCGGGGCTCCGGAGCAACCCAAGCCAAAGGGTCCTCGTCGCTATGGGGTTCGTCTTCGTGATGGGCGGCTGGAATATCGTCCCCGACTGAACGTGCCATTGTACCTGAAAATCAGAGGAAGTTAGTGAATTCGACATTATCAAATCCACCCTTCCACCGCAGATCAAGTGAAAGGGCGACGAACTCGATCGAAGCCCTCAACATGCTAAAGCGGACCATTACATTCCAAGGACATGTAGTCGGGGGATCACTCGCCGGGAAAAAACCCGGGATACACACTAACCTAAGGAATCCTCCCCAGCACTATAAGATGAATGTTCATAGGTGCCCGACACATTCATGAGTGCTCGACACGGAACCCATGAACTCAAACGAACATTCATGAATATTCATCATAAAACTCATGAATGCTCATCCAATCAAGACAAATTTTTAACATTTAATCCAGAAACACTCAAGAAACGTGGTGTTGAAAGGTTATAACTTACTAGGATGAAGAACTTCGAGGGAGAAACTGAAAAGTTGAGAGAATCGCCTCACGCCACGAGCGAAGAAAAACTGAGAGGTTGAGAGAACCGCTTCACACCACGAGCAAAGAAAAGATTGAGAGAAAACTTGAGAAGGTGACAAATGAGACCCAAGGGCCCCTTTTTATAGGCGACCCACGTCTCAAGGGATCCCTCATGAAGGGTCATCACCTCATTGGCCCCTTTTGCTTTTTCCTTGAAGGGGTGGCATCCCAAAGCACTAGCCACATGGCTCAACTATCAAACGTGTAAGGCGAACAGTTACACGAGGAAATGCTCGCCACTTGAGCGCGCAAAGGGCACCTCTATTCAACCATCTCGGGAACGATGAAGTGCTCGACAATCTAACAACTCCCAGGAGACGGGCATACCAAAGGGGATCTCGCAGAGACTCCCCGTCACCAATACGTCCTCTCTCGGGCAAACGGTTGACCCCTTCAGTCCCGATCCCCGTTTGTTTATGATATTCCCCGACGTACTCGATCTTGGCCCCCCGCGGGCAACGACTCGCTCCCTTCGGGGACTTTGGCCCTCTACCTCGACCAAGTCTTCGGTAGCGAGAGCTGAACTCAAATCATCGTCCTCTAGCTCGAGGACAATAACTTGGGGGCTCCTGATCTGGACTGGGCCTACGTTAACCCTATGAACGGGAAGCCCAAAGACAGCCCGTTAGGGACTGTGGAGAAACTCCCCATCCAATCGTTAGAGGACGTGGCCCACGACCTCCTGACAGACATCCCAAACTGCCCTCCGGGAATCTCGGGTCCAGCCCTATTCTCGCGGAACAGTTGATCAGGGGGAGTCCATTTGCTGAACTCCATACACACGTAAACTCTGGCAATTCTTGTTATTGGGTCTCTGCGTGACCCAATAGTGAGGACATTGATCCAGCGCTGAGGGTTATAAATACCCTCTCTCATAAGAGGGTCAGGTATTCATTCATACATCTAAACTCATATTTTCTTGCTCATTCCGCTTCTCACTTTACCATCAGAGTGTCTTGCAGGTACCTCCCCCCCCCCTCCATCTCATTCAAGTTCAGTCTGTAGCCAGCTGTGACGGTCTATTTCTGATCTGGTAAGATCAGTTATGTATGGGAAAATAAATACATCATTGTTGACGGAGTTTAGAGACTTCATTCTCCACCAACCCATGCTTAGGGTAAGAAGTGCATCCATAAAAAATACATTTATCTTTTGTTGTATTTTTACATAAAAAAACTGTATAGATGGGCTAAAACAGCAGAATTCAACTATACTTTCTTTTTTTTTTTCAAAATTCCTAAACAAATACATAAAATTTACATTATTCCATATACTTTCGGGAAATAACAAACTTCCAAATAGTATCATCATAAAAATTTTAGCTTTAATTATTCTTGCTAGTTCGGACAAATTTTCATTCAACTCAAAAGTCGCATAATATTTTTTAAGTTCGGTTATTCATATACCTTGACCCCTAGCACCACTACCTTTTACCATATTTTTGCCCAACAATTCCTCATAGAGAATTCGATTGTTGAACCGAGTCATTCCCTGCCTTACCATCAATACAGAGACCTAATAACATGTACACGTCTCTAGTGTGACAGTACATTCATCTATTAATAGATGAAATGTGTGTGTCTCAGATCTCCACCTTTCCAACATTACAAGTATGAACTTAAAATCAACCGTGCAATTTGAAATTTTTATAACTAATTTCGTTCAAAATTGTATGCGAGTTATAAAAAAGTTTCACATGTTAAACTCTTTCGATTTTAAGATAGATTGGGTAAATCAAAGAAAAATCATTAGAGATATCATGATACAAATAACATAGAGAAAATGAAGAGAAAAAAATATGAAAAAGTGTGAAGAATGATGGAGAAATGGATGTTTTATTTATAGAAAACACAATTGCACGTAGTAACCATCTCAAATAACACCTTCTCCCCTTATTATAGTGCATATATTATCTCACATGACTAAAACAAAATACATACACCAAATGAGATGGCGCCTAAGACAAAAAGGTTAGTACATGTACCAAGTGAAATGGCACCTCCATTACTATATATTCCGAAACATGATTATTTGCGTAATTTTCTTCGAAACATAGTTATTTATATATTACCTGATTATTGCTAAAAAAAATTCAACCATTCATGTAATTCAGTTTGTAAATCATAAACACCCTAATCAAAATGGCCACATCATACTGTTATTAGAAACACCAGATAATTAGAAGAAATACTCTATTAAAACACATTAAAACTCAAATTGTATAATGTTTTTGGGAGCCATGCAAACAGTAGGCATAATAAAACATTTAAATGATCTGGTAGTCATTTCTTGAAACTGAAGCTTATGGCTCTCATAACATCACCTCAGGTGAAGATGTACATGCATAACATTGGATATACATGCATAATACTACAGTTGTTAGATAGCACAGTACAGAATAACATAGTTTACAACAAAAGGATTTGGTAGCCTATTAAAATACAGTCAGAGATTATATCCCAAAACCAGCAACAAATTTAAGAGTTTACCTTTTCTGAAAATTATTATTGAACTGGGAATATTGTTGTGGTGGATCAACTCCGGGACAACTTTGCAGGCTCTGAGATGGGAATGAAGAGCTCACTGATGATTGCTGCCCTGGCGTGGACTTCGCTCCTGTATCAAAGTGAAATGAGAAGTCACTTTGTGAAAAACTGGAAGATCCAAAATCTGGCAATGCTGATACATCGTCTCTTCCATTATGATGGTTGGTGGAAGGTTCCTGGATACCTCCTTGAACTCCTAAATTTTCCTCTACTGGAAGCACACCTGTAAGGGTCTTAAATGCAAATTCTAGGCATGGGTCTGACCAAGTATTCATAAAAGACTCACAGAACTGTAATTCAGAATTGTCATGGTTTAAGGTTTCAGTTTGAAAAGGCGGTGGTTGCTCCGACGTACCAATTTCACCCTCAGCAACCTGGTCATTTTTCTTTAATGGCTCTTCTTGTATTTGCGAGTGTGCATTAGTTCTAGAATGATCCAGAAGTTGGGTCGTGTTTTCAGCTTCAATTTCACCCTCAGCAACCTGGTCATTTTTCTGGTCATTTTTCTTTAATGGCTCTTCTTGTATTTGCGAGTGTGCACTAGTTCTAGAATGATCCAGAAGTTGGGTTGTGTTTTCAGCTTCAACAAACGGAGGTTCTCCAAACAAATTCCTTATCATTTCACTTTCATAACTATGAGATTCTCCAGTGGTAGATGTGGAGCTAGTCTTCAGCACAGGTTCCAAATTCTTTATTATGTTGCCTTCATGACTACGAGATTCTCCGTTGGTAAATTTTGGCACATTTTTGTCAGATGAGCTAGTCCTCAACTCAGGTTGCCTAAGCAGAAGCTCTGAAGACTCGCCGTCCATATTTTTGCCAGATGTGGGGCTAGTCCTCAACTCAGGTTGCCCAAGTTGCTCTTGCTCTGAAGACTGGCCAGCCATATTATGCTCTTTCTTGTTTAAAGATGGGTCTGCGTTGTCATGAGTTTTTCCATTAATGCTGGTTACTCTCTCGTGCAACTCATTATTTGGCGGGTCACCAACACCAGGAGACGGTACTTCTAAAATCTCTGCAGCAGAATCAACAGGCAAAGCACCAGTAAGAGTCTTGAATGCGAATTCTAGGCATGGGTCAGACCAAGATTCACTGAATGGCAAGGTGACCTCTGGCTTTGATCTATCATCACTAACATTTTCAGCTTCAGCTTTCTCCAATTGTTGTTCCTTGTGAACAATTTGGTCATCAGATGATTTAGCGCTCTTTCTTGATGATTTTTCAGGCATTTCTGTTTTCAAACTGTCAGACGCTTGTTCCTTGTGAACAATTTGGTCATCAGATGATTTAGCGCTCTTTCTTGATGATTTTTCAGGTATTTCTGTTTTCAAACTGTTAGATGATTTAGCGCTCTTTCTTGATGATTTTTCAGGTATTTCTGTTTTCAAACTGTCAGACGCATGACGAGTAAGCTTGGCTTCTTCCACAGCATGGAGATGGTCTGATGCTCCATTAGTTAAAAGTGCAGCTGCAGTGGGTTCTTCTTTGCTTGATTTTTTACTTGAATATTCAAGAGCTTTATCAGAAGGATTGGCCTCTGGTTCAATGCCAGCAAGTCGCTTTGACAACCGCATAGGGGGGACTTTGACCTCTTTCTTTCTCTTGGATTTATTTGACTGCACTGGTGTATTTTTGTCCCTGCCTCTTGTAACATTGTCAAGCAAATTGCTTTGGCTGTCCTTGCTTCTTGTAACGTTGTCAATCAATGTTTTTTGAGCATCAGTTTCATGTACAGTAGTGAGTCCATTATCATTATCAACTGAATTGTTTTGATTTTGAATATCAGTTTCATGTACAGTAGTGGGTTCATTGTCAACTGAATTGTTTTGACTGTCCCTGCTTCTTCCTGTGACTGTGTCGTCAAACGTAGGTTTTTGAATATCAGTCTCAGGGACTGTAGCCGGTCCATTATCAACAGAATTATCAACGGGTGGTAACACACCAGTGAGGGAATTGATTGCATAATCCAAGCATGGGTCAGACCAAGAGTAGTGGAATGCAAAGGACAGCTGAGGTTCTGAATTCTCGTCATCCACTTCAAGCATTTCCAGTTGATTGTCTGCAGCAGGTAGGACTAAAGGAGATTTTCTTCTTTTATTTCGTGACTCTGAATTTAATGGTGGATGATCTGGCCCGCCCTCCCCTTGCTGCAATTCATCTGTGACTTCTTCAGACTTTTTGCTTTCAGATCCAGCCAATCGTTTTGAAGCCCGACAAGGAATGTGGGGCTCTTTCTTCTTACTAAATTTGTTTGAGTTGGTACGAGATTCAGGCTTCGGTTGCTCAGTTTCTGGGACACCATTGAGATGCTGAGATGATTTATTTTCCATATCAGCGGCTAGAGTGGTTCTGTTTTTTCTTAAGTTTCTTTTTGGAACTAGAGTCTGATTATTGACCACATTGTCAGCCAACTTAACAGGTTCAGCCCCAGTCAGTCGCCGTGAAGATCGATAGCCGGCTTTCAAGGATTCACCTGAGGTATCAGGAGAAACCATCATTCCAGATGACACATTCACATCTTTCCCTTTCATTGAGTTGTTAACATCTGGTGATTCTAAGCTTTCAGCTGGTTCATTGGCTGCAGTAAGAAGTTGAAATACATAGAAGCGGGTATTAAGTATAAATGGCATGTTCTTCCTAAGTTGGATGAGCTCGAAGAAATCAAACATTGACTAAAATATATTTCATCTATGGTTTTTCTTACCAGCAGAAGTCTTCTGCCTGGGTGTAGACTGCTTGGGTTTCTGTCTTTTGGCAGCAGGATATGGCTAATTTGAACAGAAGCATAACAAGAAAAATGAAATTATTCACAGTTGTAATTCTAAAATGCAAGCATATAACATTATTGATCAGAAGATCCACAGTATATAGCATGCGGGTGTTCAAGTTAAATAATGCCAATGAAAATCTGTAAAAGATATTATTCAGTTGGCATGTCTGTAAAGGATATTATTCAGTTGGCATATCTTAACAAAGAAAATCACCAGCAGTAATAAAAAAAGATTCATATCATCTTTGAATTTTAGTCTCAAGTCCGGTGTAACCGAAGAATCCCTAGATTTTTTTCAGACAAAATTGCATCAGAGGTTCTTTATATTAATTTTCTATATCAATGTAGTTCTTTATCTTTTTCATGTCAAGTTGTTCTTTTTTTCATGTAAATGTAAGTTATTGTTCTTATTTGTTTAAAAACCTCAACTAAATAGGTTTGAATCTGATCCTTCCATGTTTGTTACCAAAAAGTCCTTATGATTTATATAAATAAATTACATTTCAATCCATCAAAATAACAACTAAGTTGAATCAAAATAATAGCTACAACCCTGAAACCATCAAAGTAACATCAAAATAACATGATCTTTTTTAGTTTTATCTAAGAATGTGGTCTCTTTGTTGTCATGTACACAAATATGTAACGAAAATGGATTGAAAATGAAGGTTGGTCCAACAGTGTAAACGTTTTCAACATAAATAACTAACATGGCTTGTGAAAAATAAAAATTAAGGACTACATTGATACCAAAAAAAAAAACTACTTTGTGTTTCTTTATACTTGTCATTTTTGGACATTGTTGGGTTACCAAAGATTAGCTGGTTTGATAAAAAATTTCCTATTAGACCCTCACCTCTCACTTCATCAATTTAATATATATCCTCATTAAAGTCCCAAAAGAAAGTGAACTTTTCAATAAAAATAATCTGCTCCCTTAACTTTTTTCGACTGCTAATTTTCTCTTCTATTCTCTCTCGTGAAACCTTTGAATTTCACTCTCACTTCACAGAAGCTTTCCAACACCAAACTGCGAACTGTAAATACTGGTATATATCCCTAACTTGAACTGGTTTTTTCACGAATCATTGTGCATAACTGATAGTATAGGTGATTATAAATTCTATTGGATTAAAGTAGCAGTCACATTTTTTTTTATGTTTAGCCATAGACTCCTCACCCTTTATAACTTGCTCACATACTAGACTATGTTATCAATCTCGGATAGCGGCACAGCACGACCGTCTCTAAAATGGAAGGGAACGCGAGCAGGATGCAGAACGGCCGATATTTAAGTGACGCGAAACACATTTAGAAATTAAAGTCAGAAGGCTTGAGCAAAACATTTTTGCAAATGCCAATAAAGTTCAACAAAATAATCTTGTTATTCTTAAAAATTTAAGGGTAATATCATTTCCGACTGACGCGGCCGGAGCAGCCGCTTTGACGCGGCATCGTTCTGAATCCAACCCCATTATTGCGCTCGTTCCAGCTGAGTCACCCATATGTGACGGAACGACACAGTCTAACGTGTTTTGCTTGATTTTGCTGTTTCGTGCCGAGATAACGGCCGGAACGGCCGAGTTTAATAACAGAGGCACTAGAGAGAAGATTATTCGGTGCCCTTTAAATTTATATTTACGGCCACCATGTGTCATTAATTTCATTTTGGGTAATAAATACATATTTTGGGAGTGGATGTATGACTATAAATTCATTTCATAACTTTTCAACCATTCAATTATCATTTTATGGAAAATATGAAAGATGATTAATGAGATAAGGGTAGAATTGACAAAATGTAACCTTAAACTATCAAAATGACAAATTAAAAGGAACGCAAAAAAAAAAATTTAAAACCATAAGTATTTGGGAATGGAGGGAAGTACGATAAACGACCCTGGTGCGAATTTTTCAATCTTTCAACAGTTGGAGTCATAAGTTCATAACTAATATGACTCAATAAAAGCAGCAATAAAGAGATATTACTGATATACAAAGTAGTCTTACAGTTGAGTTGTCTTCATCTTGATTTTGTCTTCTACTTGGTTTAATAGCACATTTGTCTATATCTCCAGATTCAAGATAACGCTGTACATCCTTCTTGGAATGGAATACATATCCACTCTCCGGATCAATATATAACTGTTTGAAGTGCAATCCGATTATAATTTGTTCAAGCACCAAAACTTTATAAAACTGTAACTATAACAGACGATACTATATACCACGCGTCATTTGCAACTCACACTATATTAGGTAAATATCCATCTTATTTAATTTCTCATTAAAGACCTCCCCTTTGGAAGAAAGAGGACAGTAAATCATGAACTCCAGCTAAACATAAAAAGAAATTTCATACCCAATCTTTCCTTATGCCATTTCTGTTCTTCCTAATCTTTGCTTCTTTAATCCATCCAGGGGGTAGATCCTCTTCAGCAGACTTCTCGCCCGCAACCTAGAGTATAGCAAAACTACAAAAATTACATACTTGAAAACAAATTTATGAAGACAACCAGCAACTTCTAACAATAGTTAATGGATTAAATATAAGTTCATCTAACAATCAATATATGAAATCTATCAAATGTAATTTGCAAACTTTCTGCTCATTTTTTTCCATAAAAATACAGATGCATTAGAATTGCACTAAAAGTGCACAACCTAAGTAAACAAAAATCACAAAACTTGCTAAAATTTCAGTTACACGAGCACATAAATGTGAGGCCATAAACTGAGGTGGCCATTTTTTTTTAAGAACGTCATTTTCATGGGAGGTCACATTAATGTTTTAATCTTTTAACATTTTTGTAATTATTTTTGTACTTACAAGTTATTTTCGTGACGTGATCCTTTCTTCGCAACAAATCCAATAAACAAAATACCCACCATAAAATTCTAAGGTGATTATGGCTCCGTGTCAGACACAGTTATAAACTTCTAGTTATGAGATGTCATAGAATATGATAATGAACAATGATAAGAAAGGATCTGCCTATTTGATGGTGAAGTTCATTAATAACTAACAGAAAAATGATAGATGTACAAACATTGTTTGGAGAGTGCATGCTAGTGAATTTCTCTCCGTCCTTGCTTCCAGTATCCATGTTGATGTGTTCTTCTTCCTCCTTGCTTGGAGAATGCATGTTAATACATTTCTCTTCCTCTTTACTTGGAGAATGTTGGTTGTTGTTAGTGCGTTTCTGCTTCTCTTTGTTTAGAGAATGCTTGTCAATGCATTTCTCCTCCTCCTTGTTTGGAGTATGCTTGTCAATACATTTCTCCTCCTCCTTGCTTGGAGTATGCTTGCTAGTAGTGCCTTTCTTCTTCTTGGAAGAGCAGTTGCTGGCCTTTGTAGTTTCAAGATGTCGTAGTACCTCGGGTTTGGAGTAGAATTTATGAATATTCAATGGATCAATGTAGCACTGAAACAATGCAACAGTTTTATTGTGAGTGGTAAGTTACATTATAATGTTCACAAATACATAACATTCTCATCCAAAACATTTAAAGAGTAACTTTTACTTTCCCCTTTTCAACAATAATCAATATGTAACTAATTATTGAAGAGGATAAGTACTAAACCAGACAACACTGTAGTAATTAGTATGCATCTATCATGTAGTAATCAATATGCATGAAGAGTAGGTCCAACATTAAATCAAGAGAAAAAATATCACCAAGTAGTAAAATATCGCATGTTTACATCTATTGAGGAGTGTAGCTTCTACCATTGAATACAAACATTGCAAACTAATGTGAGCACGGTCTAAAAGATATGACCCAAAATCCAGCTCACCAATTAGGACAACTGCTCCCAAGCCATGCACATGGGAAGAACAAAATTAGAATTAATAATAGTGTGCTACTGTAAGGTAAAGTCACGAACATTATTATGAATAAAATTTTAGATTTCCATAATAGAAGTTTTCTACAGACAACTGTACACGAAATTTAGTCATGATTCAAGGCCAAAAAACTTTAAAACTGTAGATTTAAAAGGTCAGATATACATTAGTGAAATGGTTGCTTTCTGACTGACAACAAGGTTGTATTTAAGGAATGAATGATAAGAACAACTAACTACAGAAAACTGGATAAAAGTTGGTCTAATTAAAGTGTCAAATGGTCAACAACAACAATTATATCTAACAGCTAATTAAAATAAACTATCAACAACCTTATATGAAGATCCCATAGCCGGACCACTTTTTCGGGTTTGAACTTTAATATCCCAGCCATCAGGCAACCATTCAGGACGTTCACTAGCTTTCTCTGCAGTCTGAAATTATTGTACACCAACAAAGTGACAAGTGTGAAAGAAATTAGCTAATTAAGAGAAGAAAACAAAAAGTCTTCAAAATTTATCAAATGTTATTTACAAACTTCCCACTCATTTTTTCCCATAAAAATACAGATGCATTAGAATTGCACTAATAGCGCACAACCCAAGTAAAGAAAAATCACAAAACACACTAAAATTTCAGTGACATTGGCATATAAACGTAAGACCTTAAGCTGAGATGGCCTCTTTTTTTTTCAAGAATCGCATTTTTATAAGAGCTCTCATTTTATATGTTTTAATCTATAACATTTTCATAATTATGTGTAAACTTAAAAGTTATTTGCATGACGTGATCCTTTCTTCAAAACCAATCAAGTAAACAAACACACCCGCCATTAAATTCTAGGGTGATTATGGCTTTGTGCCAGACACAATTATAAACTTCTTATTATGAGATGTCATGGAATATGATAATGAACAATGATAAGAAAAGATCTGCCAATTTGATGGTGAAGTTCATTAATGACTAACAGAAAAAGAATAGAGATACAAACATTGTTTGGAGAGTGTATGCTAGTGAATTTCTCTTCCTCTTTACTTGAAGAATGTTGGTTACTTTTAGTGCGCTTCTGCTTCTCTTTGTTTGGAGTATGCTTGTCAATACATTTCTCCTCCTCCTTGCTTGGAGTATGCTTGCTAGTAGTACCTTTCTTCTTCTTGGAAGAGCCGTTGCTGTCCTTTGTAGTTTCAAGATGTCGCAGTACCTCAGGTTTGGAGTAGAATTTATGTATATTCAACGGATCAACATAGCACTGAAACAAGACAACAGTTTTATTGTGAGCGGTTAAGTTACATTATAATGTTCACAAATACATAACATTTTATCCAAAACATTTAAAAGAAGTAACTTTAACTTTGCCCTTTTCAACAATAACCAATCTGTAACTAATTATTGAACAGGATGAGTACTAAACAGAACAACACTGTCATGGAAACTGGAAAGAAGTTGGTCTAATACTCTAATTGAAGTTGCTAATGGTCAACAACAACAATTATATCAAACAAAATAATCTATTAACCACCTTATATGCAGTTCCCACAGCCGGACCACTTTTTCGGGTTCGGACTTCAAAATTCCAGCCATCAGGCAACCATTCAGGACGCTCATTAGCTTCTTCTGCAGTCTGAAATTATTGTACATCAACAAAGTAACAAGTATGAAAAACATTAGCCAAGTAAAAGAAGAAAACAAAAAAGTCTTCAAAATTTATACTCACCTCTTGTTTGGAATTGCGTTTTGTGCCACTGGTTCCTGCAGATTTTCCAACGCCCGATTTTCCCATTTTCATAAAGGCAGACTCTGCTGTCAAATACAAGACAAAGGTGTAAACAATCAAACCTCAAAGCATCTCCTTCGTTTCGCCAATCCAATAATCCATTCCCTCTTCTACAAAACATGCATTCTAACTTGTGCTCATAAGCAAAAGTCGATAAGCAAAAACCACATGCAACAAACAAACAATGAAGAAAGACATTTATACATCAAACGAGATTCCACTTCCATGACCAATTTACATTCTCTCTAGTACCATACACAGTTACAAAACAAACAAACACCACAAAAAAACTAGGGTCAACTTAGTCAAAATTAGAAAAAAATTCAACACTCTATGAACTAGATTTCATCCCCATGATTAAAAATGAATCAATCCAATCTCTTTCATAAAACTCGAAAAAAATCAAAAGCAATAAAATACTTCTACGAGCAACAAAAAGATCACAAAAAAATAAATTATTAAATAATTAAACAAAATAATATATCATCAATGGAAATGAATCTAGAGAAACAGTAAACAAATGCATGGATTCGAACTAAAATCTCATTCAACCTCATCAATCTACTTCATCATCTACTTTCCCAAACAAATCAAAACCATAATGAAAAAACAACATCAACAATAATTGAAGGCTACAACAGTGTTAATCAACAGAAAAACATCAAAAAAATCACAAAGTAAAGAGTAAAACAGAAAATATTCTAGAAATTAGGTAATCGATGAGCGAGTAGTTACCCTAGTTTAGCAGTGTTTTCATGGTGGAAGAAATGGATTTCAGGATCGGTTTTCGGAGAGAGAAAGAGGAAAAAGTGTGAGCTAAAGAGAGAGTAGAAACTAGAAAGATTAGTCTTCGATTTGATTATTACTATACTAGTACTATACGAACATTTATTTATTTATTTATTTATTTATTTAGTAAATGTTTTTTCTGTGATTCCACGAATGAGGGTCTTAACCCACGTGTTTAGTTTAGATTGAAATGAAACACTGCGTGGCAGTTATTACTTTTTTGCCCTTAGAAAAGTTAATTTAATTGAGTTAAAGATTTTGCAGTGGGTTAGGTTGGTTAAGTGTTGTAACACGCATCTTGCTCTTCACGTAGCAACCGTTGGTTTCAATGTACACGATTGCCTTTTTGAGAATGAGAATATGTGTGGTGCTCGTGAGTAAATTACTATTTTGTTAAAGTAACTTTTTACGAGTTTTTTAAAATAGTAGTATTGTTTTTGGTACAGTTGTTGATGGAGTACAATTATTAAACTTCTCGGTTTTTTCAGGAAGAAATGAAATCTAGTTAAAAGTTTTACTAAAACGGAGCTTTGAATGGAGTGGAATTATAGAGGGTCTTTATGGTAAATTTATAGTGTTAGAGTCGAGCAACTTCTCTAAATGTGATAAGTACCTAAAAACCATGCATTTTTGTTGCGATGTACTAGATCTGTAAAAGATTTATGTTTTGACAATTGCAATTTTTCGATCGGTTTGTACAAGCATACAAAACGTAGTCTTTGTGATTTTTATTAAAATAAGATCAAAACGTGTCATTTCAATTATAAATAATATTGCAATGATTTTGTAGTGTAAATGAAAAAAATATTAAATAAATTAAAAAAGACAATTAACAATTATTGAAATTTTTTTTAGCCTATAAATAGTTTAAATTCGATTTTAATTATTACAAAAAATGTCTTTCTAAAAATTTTCATTTATATTTTTAGTTCTTTCGGCTAAAATCATTGTTAATTTAGTTGTTAAATTGAAATAGTCGTTAAAATAATCGTTAATTTTGTCGTTAAATTATAAAAATTATCGCTAAATTGCAAATGGTCAAAATTGAAATATGAGATATTTACGAAGACCACAAATATATTTAATCCATTTTTTAAACAAAATTTCTTAATAATCTAATTTTTTTATTACTTTTCAAATTACCTATGTTTCAAATTTAAAAAAATTGCAATACAAATCAATTTGATTGTCGTTTGTATTTGACAAATTAGAGGTCAAGTCAATTAAATTGATGTTTTCTATAGGAAAAGACAATTCAATTAGGGTCTTTTATATGCTAAGTCAATTCAATTGTCGCCTATGTATTTGTGTTAGGAAGGGGAGTCAATTTATCTAGTTTCAATGTGTTGCAACTTTTTTTAATTAAAATAATTAATTATAAAAAATTGAATAAAAATTAATAATATTTAATTTAAATCGAATTACATACGATAATATTTTTTACACATAACGACATGCTTATCATACATGTCACTAGTTCCACACTTTCCAGGTACCCTTTCTCGTACAAGTCTATGATGATTCACCTGAGGTGTTTGATACGAGGTCCCTAAAGCATCACCATCACCAGATTTCCTAAGAAATTCTTGTAATCTTATGTAGTATTGTGTTTGTATTTATGTGTTGCGGTAATTGAGTTTGTTGCTCATGCTCTTGTAATTCGGTTGTGTTGTTTGGTTGATGGGGTTCTTGGTGAGCGGTTTGGTCGATTGAATGATGACATTTGTGTGAATGTTTCATTAGGGAAAGGAAAAAATGGTTGCTATTGTGTTTAGTAGCCATGTTATTATATTTTGGTATTGTGATGTTAGGGTATTTTTGCTATGGTAGGAAGTGTTGGTGTCATATGTTTCTTGGGTGTTTTGGCTATGGTAGGAGGATGTGTTAGTGGCATATGTTTGTTAGGTGTTTTGATAATAATCATGATGTTGGTGGTGGTATGTATGGGTGTTCAAAACTGAACTGGGTGAATAAAAAACCACTAGTCAAACTGTAAACCTCAAAAACTGAATTTGGTTCATATGTGTTTGGACTATTTTATGACAGAATCGCGCAGTTTGGTTTGGTTTGCGGTTTATATTTTAAAACCAAACCAAACAAAGCCGCGTTATTTAAAAATTACACCCTATTTATTTAACTCACTGACCCAAACCCATTAGTAAACATGTTTATGATAACTTTTTAGCCTAATATTCAATAGTCCAAATAAGGAACAAATCCAGAACAAACTCGTTTTGGGAACAAATCAATGTAGAAAGAAGCACTGCAAGGAACTTTGAAAAAAAGGAAACGATAACCTTAGAGAAATTAGGGTTATGAAATCGAACAGAAGCTTACAAAGTCAAACGGAAGTCGAACGAAATGTACAAGAACACAAAGAAAAAATCAAACATTGAAAAGTCAGTTCTAATCTCCATCTTAGGGTTTCTCATATTTATCTTCTTCACAGTCGCATGGTAAATCTATTGTTTCCTCCTTTTCTTTTTCTATTCTAATCTCTCTTTTCCCCATGTTTCAATTTCGTTTTTCATCTCCTCTTGTCTAATATATCGCCTCCTCTCTTTCTTAGATATGCCTATTGACAAGGAAGTCGGTTCTGATGCTTCCATTTCCATGACCGAAAATTAGGTAAAATTGATTAAATTATTTTGTGTACCTGGGTAATTATTATTATGACTTAAATAGTCTTTTGGTCTTTGTAAGATTGTGTGTTTTTTATTTTCGTCCTTGTATCGTTTTTTCTTGGATAAAGTTCTTAAATGTTGAATTTCTTTTGGTTTTAGTCCCTAAAATTAAAATCCGCAAGAAAATCTACAGGTTTCCTGTGGATTTTCCTTCGAATTTTCCTGCGGATTTTTAACTTTATGGACTAAAACCAAAGGGATTTCAACATTAATGGATCATTTCCAAGAAAAAAAATACAGGGACGAAAATCAAAAGCACGTCAACTTATAGGGACCAAGAGACTATTTAAGTCTATTATTATTTAATGAAGAAGATAATTGAGATAATTGAGATTAGACTGAACCTAGGTATATACTGAACCAGATATGGTTGTTCTATAGCTTTTGTTATGTGTATTATGTAAGTATTATCATATTTTGATTATGTATTTGGTTAATGTGTATTATCATATATTATGTATATCCTGAACCAGATTTTGAGATAGTGTATTATCATATTGATTCACTAATCATATATTGAATCAATAGTGTACATATATATTGAATAATCATATATTATGTGTGTATTATCATATTGACTCGGTAATCATATATTGAAAATTAATGTATTATCATATATTGACTCAGTATTCATATATTGAATAACCAATGTAAGTATTATCATATGTTGAATAATCATATATTTACTCAATAATCATATATTGACTCAATAATCATATATTGAATAAATAGTGTATCTATTATCATATGTTGACTAATCATATATTGTGTATGTATTATCATATTGTTATATAGCTTTTGTTGTGTGTATTATGTAGTAAATTAAAAAATAGTGTGTGTGTGTGATACGGTGGGAGAACTGACTTGAGGTTTTGCGTTTGTATTCGCAAATGTTTCGGTTTAGCAAGAGTCGCCACCGACTTTTTATTTTATCCAAAGGAAAGGTCAAAAAGCACAGGAAAGACCTTTGAGATGTTTTTTTGGGTTCGGGGGATAGATTATGAAAAGGGAAGGTGCAAGCACCCTTTTCATCCATGGTTATCCATGGGCTCTTAGTTACTTCTTTAGATCACTTGCTTTTGATTTTCAATTGTTTGAAATGGTGCTTTGTGTATGGTTTTGAAAATGCTTTGAAAAGAGGCCATCGTTGTGGAAACCTTTGTAATGATTCTTGTTTGAATATATACAAAGGTGTTTGTCTTTTGAAAAGATGTTTCAATGTTTGAAAGTTTGTTTTGGGAAATATTTTGAAATTGTGTGGTGATGTGTTTTTGAAAATAGCAAGGATGTTTGCAAGTTTTGATCAAGTAACTAGGAGCATCTACCCTGTCTACTCAAAGATCTTTCCTATATGTTTTTAACCCTTTTGACAGTGTTGTTTTACCATTGCATTTGGTAAACAACCTTGTATTAAGATGTTAAACGGGACAGGCGCGGGTCATCGTATAGACCATGATAGAAATTGTGTTAAGTATTTTTAGAAAATTTTCCAAGGGACTAGATCATTTGTGTAGGCAACCAAGATAGTGTCAT